TCGCAGAGCATGGTCGCGCCCCGCGACGAGTCGGGCTTCCGCGACGAAGCCATGGCCGAGAAGTCGATGAAGCTCATGAAGAAGCAGCAACGCCAGATGAACACGATGGCGCGCGCCGGTGAGGCCGATCGCCATGCGACGCCCAAGCTCGCCAAGTGGCAAAACACGGGCAAGCGCGGCAACGGCTCGACCAACTCGAGATAAACGACTGGCCGCTTGTATGGTGTATAGAAGAAGAATTAATAAACCGTTTATTATTGACAAAAACATGGGCGCGACGCAGGGTTCGAAGCGGCGACCACCGTGGATGCTGGCCACGTCGAGGTACCACGTGAGGACGTACGAGGCGTGAGGCTCGAGTGTGTAGATGGCTGGTTTTTTGGCAGGTTTTTTGGTGTAGCATTGACTGATTGATGCAGCGCGGCGACTTGCTTTCAGTACGTTTTCCATGCAGTACAAGTGGGTTGGTTCCATGCCGGCTTGAGGGTGTTGCGCTGGACATGATGCTGCCATTTGGAGCTTGGCAGCACCATCGGCGTCTTCGTCATACGGTGCGTCATTGACTGCAGTCAGAGGACCTTGTGGACCAAGAGGCTTTCTCCTGACGGCTAGTCCACTTCAACCGACGACACATCGTCCGCGTTCTGTCAACGTGGGTGCGAATCCGTGGGCAAGAAGCAAGAGACCATTCTTCAAAGATGGGGATGGTAGCCGACCACCAACGGCCTTGCCTCCGTGCTTGATATCGCTGGCGTCCTCGTGGGGGTCATCCAGTGTATGCCTGCGCGCAACGACGTCATTTCGCTGGATACGGCCCTGCCGACGGGATGACGGCGCTCCGTCAGCTCTTGTCGGCGGCGTGCGGCTGGCCCACGGTGCGGCTCAGCACCCACCCCAGCTGCGACGAGATGCATTGGATTTGCGCTGCGATGCCCATCTTCAATAACGTGGACATCGATGGCATCAGCTTGAGCGAGCGCTGGAAAGGCGGGGATCTTGGGTTCAAAACACCCTTTTGCAGCTTTCCCAACAAGTGGGCGTCCAAAATGACGGCCTTGGACGGCAAGGCATCGGTAGACGCCAACATGGCAGGCGGCAACGCCGAGGACCGTAGCATGGTCTGCGTGTCGTAGCACGTGACATCCAACACTATTCAACGACAACCGAGTCGATTTGCAGCTCTATTTGTCGTTCTCAACACTATTCCTTGTCGCAGCCGTCCATGGGTTCTGATTGGCCGAAAAGAAGAATATGCAACGCACTTATCAAAAAGAGGTCCAATCGGTGTCCGTTGTTGTTTTCTTTTTGGCCAATCGCATAGCGTGCGCTGGTCGGGCAAGCACCACGTTGAAGGCGGGAAATATCTATCCGGATACAGAGTGGCCTGGCATCCGGCGACTGCTGGCGGCTGTAGCAACCCCATATCTCAAAGCTCGCGATGGCTGCCCGTGCACCTGCGCCCCAACGACCTCGCCCGTCGCCAGCCTCGGCCCTTGACATTGCGGGCGTCCTCATCAAGATCGTTCAGTTTACGCCTGCGCGCAAGGATGTCGTCTCGCTCCTTACGGCGCTACCAACGACGACGATGCGCTCACCCGCGCTGACGGCGCTGTTGGAGCACTTGACGGGTCATTGGCAATATTGGCCCGTGCTGTACCTCTCCAACTCCTCCGAGATCGACGCAAGTGTGGTTGCGGTCTACAGCCAGGTGACACTCCTCAGGGGCGGCTGCCGGTTTCGTTCCCCGCCCTTCAGGCCAGCACGTGACTACGATGCCGAGTACAAGGCCTTCGAAGACGCCATGCACAAGTGGGCCTCCAAGTTGACGATCTTCGACGGCTCCGACATGCAGGCTGGCCAGCACTACCGCATCGAGCTGCATCGTGCACTGGCTCGCTGCACACACTTGAAGACGGCGAACCTGACGACCGACCAGCCGCACCTTCTCGAGGCCGTCACGACACCAAACCATCGCGTCTCGACGCTCGAGCTCAAACCACGCAAGCATGCGACGGTCCCTGCCCTTCCGCTCGTCGCGCCGCTGGTACGCTGGTTGACGTCTGGCCATGCTCGCCACTTGTCGCTGACTCGATTTAATCTTCCGACGGACGCGGGTCTGGGCCACGCGCTGGCCACATCGCCGGGCCTC